TTTGTTTGGAGGGGTCCAGGAGAAGAGCCCTCTGGAATATTCTCCTGCTGGGAGTTGAGATTGGCCTCTACACTCCTGGCCTCCCAGAGCAGCTTTAAAACCTGGCTCTGCCTATTGACCTGGGGCTCTGACAGAGGCGCTCTGTACTGGGACTGGCTGACAGGGTACAGAAAAGATCCCCGTTTCACCTCCCCCCCCCCCATCATCTGTCCTCTTGGTTTTTAGCTTATTATTTAATCTTAATTTTTGTACTTTTTTATCACTTTGTTTCAGGTCCCCAAAGAAATGTATTTTAACCCTATGCCTATTTTCCCTTTTTCTGTAGCCTTTCTTTGTGGCCTGCCATTCTGTTGGGAAGGGGGAGCTTTTGAGATTGCTTTGCATTGTCTGCAGGATGCCCTTCTCCCAGGGGATGGAATGTCTCTCTCATATCTAAGGGACGGTTTGCGCTTGGAGCCAGGAGAAATCGAAAGTGAAAAAGACCTTGAAAAGCCTGCTGAAAAGACCATGATGCCACCTGTGAATTGGCTGGGATTCAAACGAACACTGAGACTCTGGGGAGAGGAGTATTGAATGTTGCTTTTAATATATTGCTTCGCGGGTTTTTCTCTCAGATTCTGCCTTGATTCCCTACTGCAACTAGCCGCTAATAAACGTTCCCTTTTGAGATAATGCCTGTTTTCAAGAGTTCTGCTTTCTTGGGAAGCTTAGCTGAGGTAGGTCCTTACACTTTGTAAGCCACCCAGAGTCAGTGCAACAGTGAGATGTATGGTATATAAATTTAATAAATAATAAATAAGTAGGTAGGTTTTCAAAATTGTCTCAAAACATAGGAAAGAAGCCATTTCCTACTTTTGGCTTTCCAAGAAGTTGAGCAAGATAAGGCTGCAGTGATACAATCTATCTCTGTCTTAAGTAATTGCCAGACAAAAACCAAGCCATGTGGACAAGGGATAAATTAAACCATTGTACTAAAAGAAAGCCTGATGCCACAAGCATGTGCTAAATCTTACCAGACTGACTCTCAAAAGGCTCAAAAAATAGTCTTTGGAAATCTATGAAGCACAAGCTTTCTTTTATTCAGCAATGTAGTTTTGGTAATAGAGGGAAACATAACATAGCTTATCCTATGCTATTAAGGTCTTGATAAAAACTTCACGTGACATTTGGAAAGTTTCTTTGCTTCTGAATCTCATTTGTGACAGTCATCTATTCCTGAAGGCATCGCTGAACTAGCTTGAATCCAAAGGCTGAAGGATTTTGGTATAATTTTAATGATGTGGAAACAATCACAAGGATGCAAACTCCCTTTTTCCAAATGGAGAATTTAAATAGAGCCTTAAATGCATTTCCCTTTCGTCTTTTGAGGAAGAGACACGAGGTCTGACATGCCTGAAAGCATTCTGTTAAATTCCTGCTTTGTGAACCACATGTTTCAACAACAATTTTGTACATAGATTTGACTACAGGAGTTTCAACTCACATGCCAAGAAACCACACCTTTAAACTAAACTTGCTTTTAAGAGAAGTCTTTGAAGCAATTAAATAAACATTTAATTCCTCTTTTATTATTTTTGATTCAGACGCAATCTGTCTATAAGGTAATTTTTGACAAGACACAACTATAACATCCCAGTTTTCTTAATGGTAAACACACTAAGAGCAAAAGAGAACAGAAGAAGGAATAATAATAATAATAGAAAAACCTATTTTTAATCTACTGTAAGCAAAAATAATACAGTGTGTGGCAAAATGACTAAATGAACTCCACTTATTTCAAGCACAGGGTGGATGTATATTTCTGTTTTATATATGCTTGTTTTTTTCTCTGCTCCCCTTTCTCTGTTCATGCAGAAAAAACAGATCATTTCCAAGTTTTTAAATCTGCCTTAACTTGTTTAAAAAATGTAAATACTTTGCCAAGTCTTAAGATGATGAAAAAATTAAGTTCATGAGAAACTTTTCTTATTTCTATTTTTGAGGTAAAAGAATAATGCCCAGTAGGAAGTCAGGGACCATATTTGGAGATACAAGGAGAGACTGACTCAAAACAATTTCCTAGGAAATAAATGATAGTAGATACTTTTTAAAATGGCCAATGCTATAGAAAATCTGAGACCACCAGAAGAAAAACAAAATTAGCCTCATGTTTCCATCATTTCCCTAGCCAAAACCATCATATCATCATGGGACTTCATCTAACTCAGCACACAGCAACCCATGAACTCAGTAAGGAATGGGAAAATCTATTACCTCAGAATAGGCACCCACTTGGAGCACAAAGCAATTTTGAGATAATACTTTGGGCACTGACATAAGGTAACAGATATTAGGAGAGTATGGTTAGTCACAAAATATTCTTTACAGAAAGCACAACTGATAAGTTCCCAGACAGTTTTCTTCCCTTCATGCTTACTACCACCCTGCCTTTTTTCTCATTAAAAAGTTATCAATGTGCTATAGCTTGCATTCAGGAATTTACTTTAAAAAAAAGAGGCATGCAAACAGTTGATGTGTAATTCACTACTGTTTCTGCTGCTATCCACCAGTTAACAACTGCCAAAAAGGGAGATAAGTCTACAGATATAGAAGTGTTAGCTTTCTCGTGTATTTGAGCCAACTGCTATCTTTTCTGGCAGAGGACAAGTATAAAGAAGGCCTGCAGCTTCTTTGAAAAAATGTATCAAAATATATAATTGCCCTCTGTCACAGAAGCACCTTCTTCAGTTGCTAGCCGAATGATGTAAGTTGCAAATGCTGCCTTTAAGACAATGGTTGAACATCAGAACTAAAGGAAGAGTTGCTGCTTGTGGTTAGTAGATCAATTCATCCTGGATGTTTGTCTTCTCTTGTGAAATGTTTTGCACACTTTTCTTCTTGCAACCCCCAAAATAAAAATATTCTATGACAAAATGAAAGTAGAACTACCACACATCCTTATTGCTTCTGGGATAAATGCTAAGTCAGCTCAGGACTTAGAAACATAAGCTGACTTTAAACTTAGATGAAATGCTATTTTATTTTGATTGATTTATTGATTTAAAAGATTTCTACAGCTGCCAATCTCTTTCTCTGTCTCTCTCTCTCTCATACATGCACACAAATACACACACGTATAAAAATAAACAAGATAAACAAGTTATAGTAAACCCTGTAAAACAACCAAGAAGTCACAAGTGTAACACATTCAGATGGGGGACACCAGTTATTTCACACCTTACAGGATATCAACATCCTGGATCCACTGTCTGAAGGGCCATCTGGGTTTTCAAGGCCTTCCTAAAGACTAACAAGGTCAAAACTAGTCAATCTCAGGGGTAAGACTGTATAGGTACCATAATGGAGGAGGCATGCCATGTGGGTTCCATCAGATTATACTGTTTCAAGAAGGGAACCTGGATCATGTCTCCTCTGTTAGCATGTGGGACATGGCAAGAAATAACTGGAGACAGTCCCACAAATGTTATTGAAATGATGGTTAAACCAGCTAACTAACCATATCTTGGAATCCAAAACTCTTGATAATGAAACTAGATCAAAAAACAAGTACACGGTGATTTCTTTAGCACTTATAGCCCTGTACAAGCATTCTTCGACAGTATATATACATCCTAATAGATACATCCTCTGTATTTCTGAAAGGAAACTAAATCTTTGTTCTAACAAAGCTACAGCAGCTATACAAATTATATTACTTTAGATTGACCTAAAGCTCTTTTATATTACTATCATCAACCCACTCCTTGTCTATGGAGATTCTCAGCGTCTATTTTAGCACTCAAAGAGGGCTAACGACTAGATGCCTGTAAGGAATATATATCCTTCCATTCTCCATCATTCAGCCAGAACTGAAGAAGCTTCTTGGATGAGAAGTGAAACATCTTCAAGAAAAAACAAAAAAAGTCCATTTGACTTTTGAAAAAGCACCTTTGGGATAATCTACTCCTTCTTGCTTAATATTGTGCAATAATCAATATATTCCCTTTCGTAGTGCCAGAAAACCACTTTACAGTTAATACCTGCTTTCTTGTTTTGAGTAGGATTAACAAAGGAAAACAATTATTTTGAAAAGTGGTCAGAGTTGAAAAGAGTATCCCGTTTTGGTGCCATACTCAAATTCAAGATCTTCCTTTCATTCTATAAAAGAGTGGGGCGTAACTCAATGTTGTATCAAAGGAATCCTAAGTGAGCATGTATTTATCACAATAAGAGGTAACTTGGAAGTGATAGGAAATATTAGAACTATAAGACTGATCTGATTTCTAACATTCAACATGACTACGTTCGTACCGTGAATTTCTCCATTATAGTCTATGTAATATGAGCTCAACAGCAGTGAGCCCAAACATTCCCAAACCTAGTTCTTACTCAGTTCTGACATATTATTAAAAGTGTAAGTAGTCCTTTTTATTGAATGAATATTGATCTTTTTAATGTGCTATTGCTTGTTCAAATATGTAGTTCATTTCTACCAAGTTTCACTAAGCCTTCCCCAAACTACTATCCTACAGATTTGCTGCTTCAGAAGCTCTCAGAATTTCCATTTTAGTGTGGCTATTGATTGGAAATCTAGGGATCAAGAGGGCTAGATTAGGAAAATCTGCAGTAGGTTGAAAGGAAATGTAAATAGAAAAACTGCATCTTTACATTGTATTTCTACAGTGTAGCACAGAGTAAGAGGTAAAACCATGGCTAATATGGATCTCCAATTAAGTTCTTTGTATCTCTCAGGTTCTACTTTGATCCATAAGTCAGTTGCATAAAAAATTCCTTGTGTTCCATTAAATGTTCAAATAAGATTAAACCCAAACTATGCACAGATTGTCTTAATGCGATTTTTTTTTCCAGCTTCATCAGACATTGGCTCAGGAAAACATATGCTTACAATGGATGCTGCATGTATTGTTCCAGACACCATTTAGGGAGACTATATGATATTACATGTCAGCTTTCTAAAATATATGCTTATTTGTAGGATTATAAAAGTGATAACCACTTACCATCTTCAAAAACTGCCCCAGTTTGAAAAGACAGTTCAGAACTATGCTCTGCTTCACATGGATATACTGCCCTGGCTTTTCTATTGACAATATTGAAAAAAAGGTTGCACAATTATTTACAGGTCCTCAATTTTATATGACAATAAAAGGAAATATTGATTCTAGTCATACAAGAAAAGTCTCAATGTCTCTGTGTATGTGTGTATTTATCTACAAAAACAATAATCAGCAGTTAATGCAGAAGATACAAGATCAGAGCAAGAAGAAATCTATGGTTCAAAGACTTCATCTACCTATGAATGCATTTCTTGCTCTGCTGAAATTAGCAGTGCATTTTCTGTCTGATAATCAATAGTCATGTTTGTTTCAAGTGCCATTTGAATCATGGAATGCTGCTGTCTCAATTGATGGTAGTGTTAATTTTTTTATTCAGGAAAGGATTAATGTTTTGGGAGGCTTCACTCATGGTATGCATATTTTTCACCATTATTCATCCATTTTTCATTCATGGATTTGCCCATAATTACCTTTCCCTGAAGCAAATTACAAAGTAGCAAGAGCCTGTTTACTGAAGATCACTACAATTATTTTTACATTTTAGTTGGCATAGTTGTTTTGGGCATTTTTTATAACATTGGTAGCATTAAAGACTGATTAGGGTATACTCATTGTAGCACCTGACACATTAAATAAAAATGGTATTTTGGCTGTTAAACATGAAGAAGCTGAAAACCATTGTAATCATTTTGTCTTAAAATTATAACTGTCATATTTATATGAATACGAAAAAAATAATCCTAGTACTTGCAAAAGGAAAGTTTAAATATATGAAGTCAGTACAGGTAGTGCTCACTTAACAACCACTGTTCCAACTTGCAACAGCATTAAGGTTCCAGCTGGTTCAGAATTCCGAGGGTCATGTGATCACAATCTGGGCACCCACCTCTTGATTACAACACTGCAATATCCTATGGTCACGAAATCATTATTTGCAACCTTCCCAGCCAGCCACCCACAAACAAAGTCAATGGGGAAGCTGGCTTGAAGTCAGAAGTCGTATTCACTTAACGACCTGTGCAGTCCTTGCTTAATAATGGTAACTGAGGACTGCCATAACTGCTGTCACTAAGCAGCATGGTCACATGATACCTCAGTTTGCAATCCCATCACTTAGTACTGGAAATTCCAGTCCTAATTACCATCATTAAATGAAAACTGAAGCTCACTAATGAAGGAGTAATGAAAACGTTGCCTCATGTTATATTATTCAATTATCTCAAAATCAAACATCTTTCATTCCAACTATGGAATTTGAAATACAGCATTTTTAATTCCTTAGCAATATTTGGTAAAATTTAGTTGATGTCATTGTCTTTCCTTGGTAACAAAATAGCTACGTGAGGCTTCCTTATTTTATCTATAAGAAAGAACAATTTATTTTCCAAGGATTGTGAAATATTCCATTATCTTAATTTCCCATACTCAAATGAGACTGGAATACAATTCAGTGTTCTCACCCTCCTTGTTCAGTCCTGCATACTATGGGGCCTGACTTCATATTTTTTTTACTAAGATATGACTGATCAGAGAGCTTTTCAGTGGACTGGCTGGGAAATTACAAGTGAATTATAGTCTTAAATATATTACTGTATCCTGAGAGACAGAGAAAATTTCATTTAATGTGACCAGAATTGAACTTTGTCCTTAATGTCTATGCCTTCCTCCCCCCGGTTTGAATATTCTGCTTTGTATCATGAATGGCAACATATTATGACAGTAAACAATTTAACTGTAAAAGAACAATTATGTCTACGCTAATTGCTATAACAGAAAAGAACAATCCTGTTTCTGTTATGTAAAGAGATAAATTACAATGAAAATAAATTAATATTCCAATATTACCTTCCAACTGGTCTGTCAGTTTCTGTGGTAGAGGACGGAAATAAAAATGATAGGTTTGTTGTGACTGGACTTTGTGCTGTAGTTGACTTTAGATTTATCCAGGAAACCATTGATGAATGAACCTCACTGGATCTGAAATAATTTTATGAGAATAATCAATGATTTTAATCCAATCCCGAGTTAGTTCTGAGATCTATAAAATCAATGAAATTATTGACCCGTCATTATAATGTGTCTTCTTAAACAGACATCAAACATCTTTTAGCTTTGGTTTCTCTTTTGCTTTAGGAAAAAAATCAACCTTGTTAGGCTACTGAGGAAAGTATGCTTCCAGATATATATGAGAAGTTCAGGAAAAAGAGTCAAGACGGCAAGCTGTGCACTCAGCTTTTTATTTTATTTAATTATTTTTATTCTTTTTTATTTTTATTATATTTCTTATGAAATATACACAGTTAACAATAAGACAGAGAAAAACCTTTTTAGAAAAAAAGAATTGTGAAATATTTTTTTGCGAACAGTCTGCTCTCAAATATTTATTAGAAAAAACACCCCCTACCCTTTTAAAATAGAAGATTGAGATTTAGCAATAAAAAAAAATAGATTAAGTTTCTGTATTTGGCTTATGAAATGGTAATTCATGAAAGATAAATATTACAGTTAGATAAATATTGAATAGCAATATGGTAGCTTGTATGAAAAAATAGTAATTAAGGATGAATGTGGAAAACTATTAAAGAAGAAAGATTATTTGCTGGTCATTTTTTTGACAAGGAGAAATTATTGTAAGGTATAATTCCATTTCTAGAAGGACAACTTGGAAATTTGACAATTAGACATCTTAACTGATATCCAGGAACTAAATACTAGAAAAGAAAGTTTATTGGATATTATTTGACTTGTTGCCAAGGTAACCCTGCTAAACAGAATTCCTTTATCTCCAGAATCAGTGAGCAAGGAAAGTAGAAGACAAAGGCCAAGGAAAGAATTTACACCAACTTTTGCGCAAGTCCATTTTGTTCCATAGAATAGCATAACCTTTCTTTGTTTACAAGAGATATACAATTCCACACTTCTATTAAAACTGAATAAAGGAACAAAGATGCAAATGTTTCTTGCATGTAAAGTTATTTTTCATTGAATGGGAGCATATGCTGTTAAATAAAAACAGAAACAGGAAGATAATAAATTTTCTGGGAAGACTTTAATCAATATTACTTGGGTAATAATTGGATTATATATATTTTAAGGGATGTGGCTATTTATTTTGATTCCAAGAGGAAATGAAGACAGATAAGGTCCATTACATACAAGAATAAAAATATTCACATATCTACACTGCAATAGCATGCTGTTGATAACTTCTAGGTATATTAACATAATGATATTTCATGCCTGTTTCTTAACATATTTAAGCATAGGGTTGGCTGGATGGATGGACAGATTACAGACAGACAGAAGGGCAGATAAACAGACACCAACTAGCACAAAAATAGTATACATGATAAAACATTATAAGACCAAGAAATAATAAAAACAAGTCTAAAATTAATATAAAGTTGATGTATATTATTATTGGGTATTCTTCCTAAGAAGTCTGAAAAAGTTAAGCATTTAAATTTTGTTAGAAAAATAAAGATATAATTATTTATTCTACCTAGTTATGCATTTATTTATCATAACAAACTACTGATTACTGATTTTTCCAATCTTCATATCTTATTTCAGCTTAATCAGGGAAAGGGCATATATCAAGAAGTAAAAAAACTGCTCTTCAGTAATGAAAGAAAAAAGACAGGAAAATACTTTAGGCATACTTCAAAGGACAAGAATGGGGTTTTGAAGCATGTACTTTTAACAATAATACATAGTTTTTATAACTTTTACAAAAAAATTTTTTTTTATTAATTATTGCCAACTATTGGGGGTGGTGCTCATCTTCAAGGCCATTGAGCCAGTGCTGTCTGAAGACGTTTCTACTGTCATGCATTCCAGCATGTTACAGAACACTATTACCTTCCCACCAAAACAGTAGCTAAAACTAGCTTCAGCACAATAATTATTAACTAACATTAATAAAAATAAAAAAGGAAAAACAGAGCCATAATGATAATATAATAAATTTTTTTTTTAAAAAAAATGTTTTTTCGCCTTCTGGTAAGACAGAAGTGCTGATGGTAAAGAAGAAACTGGAACAGAGGGACTGAGGTTCAGCCTTATTTTGAAAGGGTTGTACATTCCTGGAAATAGCAGGGTCACAGTTTGGGAATTTGACTTCATTTCAGTGGTCACTGGATTCAAGGTGTCAGCTGGACACCTCTGCAAATTCTTTTTGAGCTAGTAGCTTAACTTTATTAATGCTTAGTCATGCTAACATCCTTTTTTGATTACTGTGATAGACCCTACAAGGGACTATGCTTGAAAAGTATATGAAAGTTATAATTAGTGTAAAATGTGGAAATAAAGTTACGATCTAATATAACAATCCTAAGATGACTATATAGATCTGCACCAGCGACTAAAATTTTAAGAGCTGGTATTGATCTTTAAAGTGCTACCAGGTTTAGAGCATGCCAAATGAAAGAACTCCCTCTCCTTTTAGAAGCCCGAACCATGTTAAATTTTCCAAAAAGCACCCCGTTGAATGTGCCCCTTCTGCAAGACCATCATTTGTCCACCATGTTGGAGACAGACCAATTCTGTTCTTTCAAGATAGGGCATGGATTCTCTGCATGTAAAGACTCTGTAAACATGTATCTCTTCTATCAGATGTAGATTTCTACAAATTTTACAGCTAATTTATTATTTTTTTCAAACTATTCTGTTTTTATTGATATATGTTTTAAAAAAACTTAATATATTCCTCAAATTTCATCAACACTGAGCTGAGTTACATAAACCTTCAACTCTGTGGTAATGACACCCTAAAGAATATTATGTATTGTATGCTAGCTCACTTGTAGCACCTTTGTGTGCTTTGTAGTACACAGATCCCCTTTCCATCCAAGTGCAGGAAACTTGAATTAAGCCACACTGCTATAGATCATTGGTTTTTTTAATCTTTTTATTTTTTCTAACATTATTTGATATTTGGTGTCATTAATTTGGTGCATTAACTTATACTTACAAATTTTAATCATAATATCTTCCTATTTTTATCATGTTGAAATTTAAACATTAACAATATACTGAAATTTGAATTATTATTAAAGTTCAAGTGTCCAAAATATTTAGTATACTGAGTATATCTGTCGAATAATATACTGAGTATTATTGAATAAAATATTTACATGTTTTAATTAAGATCTCATAATGTACTGCATCAAATATATGCATGTCACTTCTGTCTTATTTGAATGATATGAACACATATCAACTGAAATCTGAATATGATATGAGAGAAAAAGTTATATAGGAAATTTGTCAAGTATGAATTACACTGACTATAGACATGGCAGAAGGAGGAGAATGCTTTTAGAAAGCCTAAAAGCATAATCAGATGAGATCTTTATCATAATTGTAATGTAAAATTTTAATAAGCAACCAGCTTAGGCAGGCTTTCTTCTGGGTGTTCTGAATGGCAGTAAAAGGTTCACTCCTTTTAAAAGTGAATTGTACTTTTCATGTAAATCTTAACCCAGAATAGAATCTTACCCTGGGCTGCACTATGAAAAAGTCTATGCAACTGCACAGCCTTCAATATTCCACTGGTTGTCACTGTGATTCCCATTTTTCTTTTTCAAATGATTGCACACACAAGTAAATTTTTAGACTGAATATTACTGGGTGTGGGAAGAAAAAAACATTGCTCTGCAGGCAATGCTTTTCTTCCTAAAAGTTTCATGTTAATCACAAAAATGCATTGTGCCTCTCTATACTTTGTACAATATGAACACCATGACAAAATTCCTACATGCAAATTATTTATAATCAAAATGTTAATGGGACAAAAATTCCTGTGAAAACCTATGGATTAATTAGGGATCAGGTTGAAATACTGAAAGGAATATAAATCCTGGGGATTACATGGCTATATCCATATTGCTTTCTTGGCAACAATATGGAAGTGATTACCTTAACCTTTTTTTTTTGGGGGGGGGGGGAAGAGAAAACTCTATAGTATAATCCATAACTCTGGTCTATTCTACATGAATTTAACAGGAATAATCCTGTTTAGCTTTTCCAAAACCAGCAAGTCCATCTAGCTGCTGTCTCCTGCTGTGATAATTAGGAATAAAAAACTTATGGTATTAAATATCTTCCTGAATAACAGGGGGATTGGACTGAGCAGACGCACAGAACACTTATTTCTTCTGTGGTCTGCTAAAGAGAGGAGGAATTATGAAGTAAAACATCTAACTTTAAGGGACTCCCCTCTATGCAATAAAGATACACTACAATTCTCTAAAATAGCCCAATGTAATTTCAGCTACTGCTACTACCTATATGTTTAAAATGTATGTAACGAGTCCCCTTTTTAAACTGAATTAAAAGTTTTAAAAGAATTTGCAATATCATTTTTAATAGTTAAATCCAAAGAAATAAGCTAAACTCTGTTGTATAGAGGATCCATTTAAAAAGGAGCTAACAAAATTGCTTTCCACATTTCTGGTGCTTACAAAAACGTTTAAGACAACAAGAAATCTGTACTTTACAAGTTTTTTTGTATACCATATAAGCTTTCAAACAAAAAATATGTTACTTACGGATTGCCACTGTCAGTTATAAGATTATTTTTCTCTGTGTCTTGAGGGCTGGTAGGAGCAGCAGTTGTGGGAGACTGAGAAGACAGGGAATCCATGCTATCTGAGCGTGTGCATTCTTTGGCAGGGCTAAGGTGGTCACCTGAAAAATAAATATTTTTATCTGCTTTCATTTTTAAAAATGTAGCATAGTTATATTTGCTCTGAACTCTGACTTCTGTGAAAAATGCTTTAAGGGTTCCAGCCATTTGCACTATATCAGGAGTAGGCAACCTTGGCTCTTTTATGACTCGTGGACTTCAACTCCCAGAATTCCTGAGCCAGTCCACGAGTCATAAAAGAGCCAAGGTTGCCTATCCCTGCACTATATGAACGTACAAGTCATTTAAGACTTGCATACAGACAGTCCTGGACTTATGACTACAGTTGAGCCCAAAATTTCCGTTGCTAAGCAAGGCAGTTGTTAAATAAGATTTGCCCCATTTGCCCCAGAGATTTGCCCACAGTTGATAATTGAATCACTGCAGTGGTTAAGTTAGTAATCTGATTGTCAACTGAATCTGGCTTCTCCATTGACTTTGCTTGTCAGGGGGTCACAAAAAGTGATCACATGACCGCAGGACACCGCAATCATCATAAATACATGCCAGTTGCCAAGCATCCAAATTTTGATCATACTGAGGGTGCTGCAATGGTTGTAAGTGTGAAAAATAGTCACAAGTCACTATTTCAGTACTGTTATAACTTTGGTCACAAAATGAATGGCTGTAAGCTGATGGCTGCATTTAAAGAATGAATGGAACTGTTGCACACTGGAAGTGAAAAATAATTTCAGGCTTAGCAACTTGCATTTACCACCTGATTATTTTTGTCTTGACAATTATCAGTAGAATGTACAAATTGGCTGCATTAAATTAATTCAAGTTGAAACAATGTTTGGATATACCAATGGGTAATCAAAACATCAATTCTGTAACAAAATCTTTTCAGATACCTTGCAAAAAGTCTTCTTGGCAATTTTTCAGGAAATCATTCTTTTAACATTTAAAAGAAAGCACACAGCATTTCAAAATTTTATCTGAAGCTTATCTTTCTAATGTTTTTATTTAGATAAATGTAATAGCAAAGCATACATAGTTCAATGAGATATATAAACTGAAACTTATTAAGATGCAGTGATTGAGGATATGCAGAGCTTTGTGAACTAGAAGCTTATCATCTTTTCTGGATGGGGCGGTACCACTCCAGACAAACCCAGTGCACAACTTCAGGATTCTCCTAGACTTGTGATTCCTGCTCAAAGAGCAGGTGGCATTCGTGGCTAAGAGAGCCTTTGCACAGCTTCATGTGGTATGGCAACTGAATCCTCTTCTGGATTGTGGAGTCCTGCCTCGGGTCATTCATGCATTTGTCATCTCCTGCTTGGATTATTGCAAAATGTTCTACAAGAGGTTGTGCTTGAATAGTATTTGGAAGCTACAATTGGTCCAGAATGCAACAGTGTGGACAGTTTTGGAGGCCCTTAACATCACTGTTATGCAAGTTGCACTGGTTGTTATCTGCTTCTGGGTGCAATTCAAGATGTTGATTGTTATCTTTAAAGCCCTTTATGGCATTGGATATCTGCAGAACTATCTTTTCCAATAGGATTGGCCTACCCCACTTAGGCTGGCAGAAAGGGCTATTGTGGATCCCATCAGCCAAGGAATTTCAGTTGGTGGGATCCAGGAGAAGAGTCTTTTCAGCCATGGCTCCTGCTTTTTGAATAGAAGGTAAGATCCGCCCCCTCTCTTTTAGCCTTCAGGAAAGGCCTTAAAATCTGGCTCTGCAGTTGGCATGGGCTCCTGAAGGAGAAGCTGTTTGCTGGAGGTGGTTGATACACTAACAAAAAACGCACCCCACCTTTCCCCCCAAATTCTTGTTTTTTAGTTTGCTGTAATTTTTGTAATTTTAATCCATTTGTATATTTATAATAGTTGAATGTTTGTTTTATCTCAATGTAATCCTCTTAAGAGTTGCCTCAACTGTGAGATGGGCTGCAAGTAATTTGATAAATAAATAACCATACCATATTTAGATTAATCGTGCTGTCTAGTACAACAGATCTATTACATTGTTCTCTGTACATTAGATACTCTAAGTTGGTGTTTAGATGTTTGCTGGTATGCATCCTTGCATGACACAGTAAGAGCTTGTGGTAAATTAGATTGTATGATAATGATCCATTCATAAAACCCACAGTAGAAAAAAACACTTCCTAGGAGAATTTACAGGTAAAATGCAAACCTTTTGGATCTATTCTACCTATTAATTTTTGTAACATAGATTAATGTTCATATCTAAAATTACACAGCATGCAGCGCCTTTTTTTTCAAAGCACTTTGGAAAATCATGACAGAGACTAGCATCCTGATTCCAAGGTATCAGTTCATTTCTGGTTTCCTGGGAGTATGTCACTTGATAGAAATGCTAGTTTCAACGCTGCTAACATTGGATGTTCCCGCTCTGACAACTGATGAAAATGCAGCCTTTTTCTCTTCTCCTTTCTCATGCTTTTTCTTGCTTTTAGAAATCAGGTGCAGCGGGGGGTGGGGTGGGATGTAAGCTCAGCTAGCCATAATAATAACGCTGCTGTGGGAACCCAAGGACAAGCTGATAACATTTTGGCAGGCTGAGGAGCTAAGGAGAAAGGCCCCGCTTTAAGCTAATTGGGGAATGTGCTTTATGACAGTTTATTGGGGGTGGGAATTGTACTTTGTTACTTTGTATCTGGAGGAAGGGAATTTAGTTTTTGGGTTCAACTTTGTTTCCCGAATAAATGTTCTTTAAGGAAGAATTTTGCCTCAAAGTTCTTTTGATGGGTTTCATCTTATCGGAACCATGACAGCTAGGAGAAGAAAAACTATCTAGCCAGGTCAAGTTAAATCTTGGCACACATGGCTGTATATAATTTTGAATTATTTGCCTCTCTTCCAGCATCATCTCATGATGTTCTGGAATATTGCCTCACTGGAGGTAGATTAAGGATATAAAAAAGGCTGGTTGGAAGATGAAATCTTGAAAAAAAACTTGTGTAGGCTTCCATCTATAACAAACATGCATGGAATAGGCTTCATATATACTTTTGCACTTATCATTAAATGGTTATCCAGTTCAATTATACAGGTGAAAATAATAATCCTAGTAACTATCAAAGGCAAAAATTTAAAATTTATACATACTCTTATCTGGAAACAAATTCCACTGATCTTAATTAATGTGTGAATAGTGGGAATAGTAAAAAATGCATGCATTAGACCAGGGGTGTCAAACTGCCGGCCCATGGGCCGGATGCATCATAGGGAAACCGTGCCCACCCCATTGCCGGCAATGGCAAAAAAGTCGTGATATGTCACGATACGTCATGACACATTGCAAGTTTGACACCCCTGCATTAGACTGATTTTCATGAAAATAAGTAGATTATAGATTTAACAGTATACGTTGTGAAAGAATGTCAAAATTGAAATTCAAATTTAACAAATATTTCCATGTCAGTTACAAAGAATTACAGATATACATTTTAATCTCACTGGTTTGTCTGATGTAGTCTCTTTCAATGTAGCCAAATTTTGTTATATTATCTGCAAAAATAGGCAGACTTTGATTGCCCAATCCATCACCAATTGTTAAATATTATCTTGTCCTTTTTATTTTATTTCGTTTTATTTTTAATGCTTATTTGTAATGCTAGTCTGTGACTGTAATAAAATTACTCCTCCTCCTTCACTAGTTTATAGTATTATATTAAAGTGAAGAAATTATACAATTAGCTGTCCTGAAATGTCTCGTTAAAGAGTCACATTATATTAGATTTTATTCTTCATTAAGTCATATTATGATGCCAAGAGCAAGTCCCATTTAAGAAAGTTTTAAGGAAGACAACAGGAATTAGATCATAAAGCAAGATATAAATTAAGTGACAATGTCAATATGAATTAACAAAAATTAATTTCTAGTATGAACCAACTGTTATATCATAACACCACCATATATTAAGACAAAATCTCTTCATTTTCTATACACAAAACAGAGCCTAAAGAAGAAAACTACAAAGGAGGCATTTTGCCTATCTATTGATAATAAACTGTGCTAGCCAATGTTAACATAGACCTGGAGAAGAGTAAAAAAACAGAAATAAATGTTTGGGGAAAAAATAGACTGATGAAACTGCCAGAAAGTGTCCCTTAAGTACTCTGATAAGAAAACAATGAGTGAATTATTGACACTAGAATTAGAACAGAATGATAAATGACAGAAATGCCAGTTATGAGGAACAATACAAAATAAGGAGAGAGAATAAAAAGTAGAAAAAAGTGTATTTTAAATTTTAAACAGCTGTTATTGGTAATTCAAATCAAAATTCTTATTAGTTGCTGCATTATTCCTTAAATAAACAGGTATTCTGATCTGGTCATATTCAAAAGTCACTATATCTGATTCTACATGCTGCCTTTGAACACAGTGAAAAAAGAATATATATAGCCCCTTTGTTCTTTTCAGTGCAGTACATAGTGGTAACAATTATAGAAAGAATCTCAATAAAATATTCAATTTAGTGACATCTAAAGAAAGATGTAACCCAGTGACACCTAAGGGCACATCTTAGAATTGCTCTTTCTTCCAAAATAACAACTGCATTTACTTAACTGATAATGCATCTCTTCCATCTGTAATAATGAGCTGAAATACACTGCTTAGAAATTCAATGCAGAAGTATTGTATTCTACCACAATACAGAAGATAGCTACCCCATTGGGCTGCCACCCAAACTCTGTAAGGCTGGCATTTGTAAAAAATAATTTGTTGTGGCTCTCTTAGATCACAGAAGACATTGCTATATATACCTAAATAAAGCAACTTTATTAAACTTTATGTTTCTGTAATATAAGTATAAAAATTACATACACATGCACTATTACTAACTATAAAACTATTTCTGCAATAATAAAGAAAGCTCGGACATCATTTTAATTTTTAGAATTATTCTTAAACTCAGCGTTCCTGGAGCCATAGGTAAATAAGCAACTTAATTAGGCAAATGACATCATCATCATCATATTATTATTATTATTCTTGTTCTTCTTCTTATTATTATTAAAG